CACTGTTGGAGCCTCTGGGTCAATCCATCCCAGTAAGATCTTCCTCTTTTTCAACGACCCTCTGCTTTACCAAGCTCCAAGCACTGGTTCTTCCTGATAACCTCTCCAAAGTACGAGAGATGAAGTCTTGCCATTCTCTCTTCTAAGGAGCATTCCAGCTGTACTTCTTCCAAGACGTATTTGTTGGTTCTCTGGCAGGGCCACGCATGATATATAGTTAATATTCTTCACTAGCACCATAATTCAAAGGCATCAGTTCTTAGGTCTTCCTTATTCATCGCCCACCTTTCACATGCATATGAGGTGATTGAAAATACCATGGGTTGGGTCAGGGGCACCTTAATTCTCAAAGTGGTACCTGTGCTTTTTAACACCTTGAAGAGGTCTTTTGCCAATCTGCCCCCATGCAGTCACCATCTGATTTCTTGACTGCTCCTTCCATGGGTGTTGATTGTAGATCTAAGTAAACAGAAATCCTCAACATTTGTGTTCAGTGCATCAAATGTATTCTTGAGATGACATCTGAATTCAAGTGGAATAGACTCAGGGTCATTCTTTGGCTCCCATGGACTTGTTTTAATTTTCTTCAGCATCAACTTGAACCTGTATATGAGCAGTTGATGGTCTGTTCCGCAGTCGCCCCCTCACCTTGTTCTGACTGACTGATATTGAGCTTCTCCATCATCTCTTTCCACAGATGTAGTCGATTTCATTCCTGTGTGTTCCATCTGCTAAGGTCCGTGAGTATAGTTACTATTTACGTTGTTGAAAAAAAGTATTTCCGACGAATAGGTCATTGGTCCTCAAAATTCTACCATGTTCTCTCCAGCATCATTGCTATCACCAAGGCCCTTTTTCCAACTACTGGCCCTTCTTCGTTTCTAACTTTTGCATTCCAATCACCAGTAATTATCAATGCATCTTGATTGCACGCTTGACCAATGTTAGACTGCAGAAGCTGGGAAAAATCTTCAACTTCTTCATCTTCGGTTTTAGTGGTTGATGCATAAATTTGAATAATAGTCACATTAACCATCTTCCTTATAGGAAGACTGGATGTTATCACTGACAGTGTTGTACTTCAGGAAAGATCTGGAAATACTTTCTGACAATGAGTATGATGTCATTCCTCTTCAACTGGTCATTTCTGGCATAGTAGACCATATGATTGTCCAATGCAAAATGGCCAGTACCCATCCATTTCAGCTCACTAAGGCCTATGGTATCGAGCTTTCCATGTTCCATTTCATATTTAACAATTTTCTGTTTTCCTAGATTTATACTTCATACATTCGGCATTCCAATTAGTAATGGACATTTGCAGCTATTTCTTCTCACTTTGAGTCACAACACATCAGCAAATCAAGGTCCCAAAGCTTTACTCCATCCATGCCATTAAGGTAGCCTCTACTTTGAGACGGCAGTCATAAGGGGTTCATTCTTCCAGCACCGTATCAGACGGTGTTCAGCTACTATCCATAACGTTTTCAGTGGCCAGTGTGTTCAGAACTTGAACACTGGGTCCCCCATCCTGGTGGATCTTAGTCTGGAAGCTTCACTGGACCGCTCACCACGAGTGACCCTACTGATATTTGAAGTACCGGTGGCATGGCTCCCAGCATCACAGCAACACACAAGCCACCACAGAACGACAAACTGACAGGTGATGGTACAATGGAATACTACGCAGCACTCAAAAAGTACAAACTGTACAGTAACATGGACAAACCTCATTGAGGTATTGAGTGAAAGAAGCCAGACACATTATATGCTTCCAGCCCTATGAAGTTCAAGAAGAGACAAAACTAATAAAAAAAAAGTCATTACCTCTAGGGGATTTGATTGGAAAGGAGCTCAAGAGAACCTTCTAGGGTAACGGCAATATCATATCTACCTATTTATCAGAGTAGAGATTACATAGTTGGATACTTATATGAAAGTTCATTGACTGCACAGTGAACATCTCGCACCTGATGTATGTACTTCACTAGACCTATAACTCAGCTCAAAGTGTAACTTCAATTTAATTTAAAAGAAGGGGGGCTACTAGGACTAAGACTCAGATGCCAATGAGAGGCAGAATCTGGCTGAGGCAGCCCCCTAGGACTTCAACAACGTGAGGGCTTTTAAAAACGTCCAAAGGAAAACGCAGACCAGAGTTTCAAAGTCTCATGGACTCCAGATTTTCCGGAGCCATGGAGGCTGCATGAACCCCTGAAACAGCAACTTGAAAGATCACACAGGAAACTTAGGGGGCAGTGAGTGTATGTTAATGGAGGAGGAACAACTCAGAAACGGTTGTACAACGTGAAGGATGTCATCAATATCACTGAATTGTACACAAAGAAACTGCCAAGTGTTTTACTGTATATACTCTCAAAAACAATTAAAAAAAAAAATTTTAAGTATATATTCCCCCTTATTCTTTGGAACTCTTCCCCTCAAAAGGTGGAGTGACATTTCCATGCCCTGGAATGCAGGCTGGACTCCCTGACTCTAACTCCTGGAATAAAGCACACTGAAGGGTGCTTTGGGCCCTCGGTCACCACAAGGCACCGTGGATTCTCCATTGCTCTCCTCCCTCCCCTCTTGGAGAAGCCCAATGTCATGCTGTGAGGACATTCAAGCAGCCCTGTGGGAAGGCTCCTCTAGTGAAGGGCTAAGGCCTCCAGCCAAGAGCCAGTTCATGTGAGAGAGCCTTCTTGGAAGCAAATCCTGCAACCCTAATCAAACCTCAGCTGACCTCATGAGAGACCCTGAGCCAGAACCACTCAGGAAAGTGCTCCCCGATTCTTAAGCCTCAAAACGGTGTCATAACAAGTATTTGCTGTTTCGAGCCACTCAATCTGGAGGTCATTTGTGTGTCTCAGTTCCACAGGCTACCATCTTCCCACCTACTGCTGGCATTGGTTATGATCTTCGTAATCCAGTCAGCTTCCTGGGGTACGGGACCTGGAGTCGGCAGCCGGGGAGGGGGGGTGGACTGGACAGCAGCTAACAACAACGAGGAATGGGGTTTGTTGTTATGTTGTCAGGAGCCATGGAGTCAGTTCTGACTCATACAACAGAACAAAACACTGCCCGGTCCGCACCATCCTCGGTCATTGTCATGCTTAGAGCCCATGGTCGCAGCCACTGTGTCAATCCATCTCATGAGGCTCATCCTCTTTCACTGACCCTCTACTAGTAGCATAGTGCCTAAGGCACTGGACTGCTAACCAGAAGGCTGGCGGTTGAAACCCACCAGCCACTCCTCGGAAGGAAGGTTGGGCAATCTACTTCCGTAGTGATACTGCCTCGGAAACCCAAGGAGGGGTCGCTATGAGTTGGGTCTGACTCGACAGCACATAACAACAACTACTTGAATACGCACGCTATCCTGGAATGGGGGTAAAAAAAAAAAAAAAAAAAGTCCAAACTCACTGCCATTAAGTTGGTTCCCACTCATGGCAAGCCCTGTTGGGTTTCCAAGACTGTAAATCTTTACAGAAGCAGACTATCTCATGGTTCTTACAGAGAAGCTGGTGGGTTTGAACCACCGACCTTTTGGTTAGCAGCCAAATGCCTTAACCACTACACCAAAGCTCCCGGGATGGGCTTAGGGGAAATCAAATTCTAGGAATAACATGAGCTGGAGAACAGAGGCTTGGGCCTTTCTCTCCCCACCTCCCATTCCCACCACCGTGAGCTGCCATTCTCTGATCAGAGAGGGGAAAGTAAGGCTCCCAATGGGGGCAGTGACCCCTCCCCCACATCCACCCCGGCCAGGGGGTCTCTGCAAGACCCGCCCTCCTCACTCTGCCAGGTGTTCTGAGCCAATGCTGAGACTGTGAGGACATCTGTCGGCTCGCGGAATATACTCAAGTGCTTTCTGCTCACTTTACAATCCTGGAGCCGGTAGTGCGATTCACGGCAGAAGTAAAACACCTTGAACTTCACAACCAGTTCTGAGATGCTGCCAAGCATTGGCGTTACTCCCGAACCGGCGCCCCTGGCCCGCCTGCCCGGGTCCCACTGGCCACACCCACTCCACCACGCAGGCTCAGCCAATGAACTGCCTGCCTTGTGCTTTTGAAAGGCAATCCAGCCGGGAAAAGCCACAGCATGACACCGGGGGCAGGCCCTGAAGGGCAGGGGCAGCTGGGAGCCAGACCAGGCTATTTGGGGCTCCGCAGCAGGCCGGGTGCCCTCCCACCCCTGCTCTGCCGGAGGCTGGGCCCAGCCCTGGGACGCCTGCCCCACTGGGCCTCCTGCCCAGCCGGGAGTGGGAAGAAGCCGTTTGGGCTCAAAAATCTCCTGGGGGGCGGGAGTCACTGTTCTCTAAGCCCAGGAGTCACAGCTTCTCCTCCTCTGTTCCGTGTCCCCCAGGAACGGTACAGGCTGCTAACACATGACAGGCTGCCAATGGGGAGGGCAGGAGGGCAGCAGGCCACATGCTGGGAAAGGCAGGCTGGGATGGGGGCAGGGGAGGGGCAGAAGAGGCCTGCCTGGGAGAAGTCACGCCATGGGGCCATTTGACCCCACGGGGGGGGGGGGTGCCAGCCCCAGAGCTGTCCCTTCAGCCCAGTCCCTGCCACTCTCCCTAAAATCCCACCCTTTAAGAAACCTTACTAAGCAAAGCTTAGGGAGTTCAGGATCCCAATTTTGGCTCCTCCACAAACTCCACATGACCTTGGGCAAATTAAGTCAGGTACTGGGCCTCAGTTTCCCTCTGGCAATGGAGTAAATGGGTAGGTCCTGGATGACCCCTGGGGTGCCCTGTGACCTCTTCCAGTGGGGTGAAGGTGTCCTCAGACTGCTCCTGCCAGGAGGCCTGACCCTGGTCTGGGGTGAGTGAATTGGGCTGGGCACACGGGGGGTGTGGCTCTACATGGGGGTCGAGATGGAGGACAGGGGGCCTCAACTTCCCCAGGACTCGGGGAAGCGTTTGCTCCTGGGGTGCTGTCCAGCCCAGGCGGGGCCGCCCTCGCCCCTCGCGCCCCCCTCCTGCTTACACTCACATTTTGCCTCCTTCCAGTCTGTGGAGGTGCTCAGATCCACCTTCGCCGCCATGGTCAGGGGGGCCCAGGTGCGCACGCCGGCTCTCCGCCCGACGGCCGCTGCCCCCCAAGCCTCAACTCCCGCTGGGGTCCGCGCGCGGGGCCCGTACGCGCCCAGGGACGCCGGGGGGCTGAACGCACTGCTGCGGGGCCGCGTGGCACCCGCCAAGGGGCCAGGCCAGGGGCGCGAGGCGATGAGCTGCCGCCCCGCCACGCGCAGCTGTGCCAGGCGGCCGGACACTCGGCTCTGAAGAGACATGAGCGGGCGGCCCGGGGCGGCTCCCCGCCCACTTGGACTCTATTTACGGTGCTCGGGATAGTCTCTCCCTTATTTACTCGGGGATCGTGTGGCGTGTGCTAGCGCGCGGCGACCTGCTCCGAGCCGGCGGGCCGCGCCGCCAGAAAGCCCGGGCGCACCGCTGGGCACCCTGGAACTTGTAGTCCGGGCCGCAGATGGGCACCCCCCGCACTCGTCTGCACACGTGCGCGCCCCCTGCGCCCGGCTCGCCCTGGTGGGCCTCGGCTCGGAGCCTCTACCCCGTCACTTTCGGCGCCTGGAGGGGGTGCTGCGACGCACCTCCGGGCGCTGCGGCCTCCGCGGCTGCCCACTTCCCGGTTGGTCGCCCGGCCCGCTCCCCGCACGGGCTGAGGACCCCGGGCGCTCCACACTCCGGGCTTGATCCTCCGGCCCCCTTGCGGAGCTGTGCGCCCGGGGCTCGGCACCGAACGAGGAGAGCCGGCTCGGCTCCTGGCGGTGTGGGGAGCCCGCCTGGTCTCCCCCCGCGTCAGCAGGGCGCCTGCATGCATCCCACCCGGCCTCTTCCCCGGAGCAAAACAAAACGGCGCGAACTGGCACGTCCTGTTCAGCGGCTTCCCTTAGGCCGCTTTTCAGCCCCAGAGACGCCTCTGCAACGGAATCTCCTGGGGTCTGGGACGCAAGGGTGAAAATAGTGGAATTTGGAGGCAGAGGAAAAGCGAGTTCCACGTGGCGCTCCTAGTTGGAACAATTTAGTTGATTTTGTTTTTTGTGTTTTTCTCTTTTTTTCCTCCTAGTATTTTACAGAGACTCTGAGGGTGGGATTTTTTTTAATAGATGTTTTTGTATTTTCCTATGCTACTAAGTGCAGCTAGAATGCTCCTTGGAAGCGAGAAAGGCCAGACTTCGTCTCACCTACTTTGGTCATGTTGTAAGAAGGGACCATTCCATGGAGAAGGATGTCATGCTTGGTAAGGTGGAGGATCGAGGAAAGAGGGGAAGGCCCTCAACGAGATGGATTGACACAGTGGCTGCAACAATGGGCTCAGGGACCGTGGGGCTGGCACAGGACTGGGCGTGTTTCCTTCTGCTGTAGGTGAGGTCTCTGGGTTAGAGACTACTCCACAGCATCCAACAACCACAACGTGGTATTAATATTATTTGATACCTAACGATAGTAAGCATAGTGGCTAAGACACTTGCCTGCTAACCAGACCGCTGGCGGTTCAAACCCACCAGCCACTCCTCGGAAGCAAGGTTGGGCAATCCTACTTCCGTAGTGATACTGCCTCAGAAACCCAAGGAGGGGTCGCTATGAGTCGGGGCCTACTCGACAGCACATAACAACAACAACAACAATAGTAAATATTTTTTAATACGTGGGAACAAACAAGCCAGGGTTCCATGAAGGTGCCAGCCCCAGTACCAGCTTTGTCACTTTGAGGCGTGGCTTCTTGATCTATAATTGAGAGTCAGCCAGTGCTCCGGTTTGGCTGGTTGCAAGCCTGCCCTGTGTGAGGCAATAACGCCCAGCAGGGCTGTGGAGGGTCATGGGTGAGAGTCCCATGTGTGGATGCAGGTGACACCCCCAGGATGCTGGAACACAGGGGACCAGCATTGCCCTTGTGACATTAAATCCATTCAAGGCAGGATGAATATGGGCAGCCAGACCAGGAGATGACTGGTGAATATTCCTGGAGTGAAGAGCCAGGGAGTTGGGGCCAGTGGCACCCCAGCATTCTAGGATCATTGACAAGGCCTGTACCTGCCCTAATAGGGCAGCAAGACTTCTGTGAAGGGCAAGGAGTCAGGTGTAGCCTCCTGGGCCCCTTCTCTTGGCCACACCGTCATCTCACCACCTCCTCACTCTGGACATGTCGGCAAGAAAGAGTGACAGTGATAAGAGGACATCTTGTTGGGTAAATAGAGGGTCAGTGAACATGAGAGAGCCCCTCAGTGAGGCGGATGAATATGACAGCAGTAACAAGGGACTCAAACATTCCGGCAGTCACAAAGCAAGGACCAGGCAGTGCTCCATTCTGTTGAACATAAGGCCAAAGCCAATCACTGGCAACTAACAATAACAACGACAAGGAGGAGCCTGGAGTCCCTGTGTGGTGCAGGCGGCCTCCTGGCCTTTCTCGCACTACGGCCCCTCTCCGACCCTGCTCCACGGTCACCTTTCCCCTCTGGACTGCTCCCTGCCTCCCTCTTCCACTTTTAAGGACCCTGTGATTACATTCAAGGAGCGCTGGTGGAGTAGTGGGGAAAGCATTGAGATGCTAACTGAAAGACTGGCAGTTCGAACCCTTCACGTTTCCTCACCACATCAAAGATTCTGCTTCTAGCTCTGTCTCTCTCCCAGCGCTATAGCACCTTCCTAGAGAATCAAAGCCTCTTTTCAAATTTAAATCCCTGACAGGACGGAGCACCCAGTAAGCAAGGTAAAACCAAAACCAAACCAAACTCACTGCTGTCAAGTCAGTTCAACTCATAGCGACCCCTCCTTGGGTTTCTGAGATGGTATCACTACGGAAGTAGATTGCCCAACCTTCCTCCCAAGGAGTTGTTAGTGGGTTTGAACCACCAGCCTTCTGGTTAGCAGTCAAATGCCTTGGCCACTACACCACCAGAGCTCCCAGGCAAGGTAAGCACGGCCTTGTTTTAGTAAGTAAACACAAGTAAGTCCATGCTTATGTTGCTTATTGGGTAATCCATCCCTGTATCCACCCGCCGCCCCCAGCCCCATCATTGTGTTGCACTGTGGTGGCTTGCGTGTTACTGTGACCCTGGAAGCTCTGCCACTGCTATTTCCAACAGCAGCAAGGTCCCCCGTGGTGGACAGGTTTCAATGGAGCTTCCAGACTAAGACCAGGAAGAAAGGCCTGGTGATGTAGCTTTGACAAGTAGCCAGTGAAAACCGTACAGTCCCAGCAGAACACTGCCCAACTGCCTATTTGGGTCCATCATCAGGAGGGATCAGTCCCTGGAGGGGGATATTGTGGTTGGTGACGTGGAGGGTCAGTGAGGGCGAGCAGGGTTGGCACAGTGGCTATACCATTGGATTTGAAAATGCGACCAATGACACAGGATCGGGCAGGAGTTACTCTGTTGTACGTAAGGTTGCCGTGGCTTGGCGTTGACTTAATGGCAGCTATCTACCCATCTGATGACACTGGGTTCAGCTGGATAATCTAGGATGATCTCCCTGTATTACAGTCCGCTGGTTAGCAGTATCCATTCTATCGGCAGCCTTAATTCCCCTTGCCACGGGACAAAACATATGCACAGGCTTTGGGGATTAGGATGAAGACATCTGTGAGAGGTATTATCCTGCCTGCCACCCCGTGCCTGGCAAGGCCTGGGGACGGGGTGCAGGGAGAAGCAGGGACCCTGATGAGAGTCTTGGTGCCCAACCAGGAGGGTCCCCTCCACACAGAGCCTGAAATCTATGCCCCATGTTGTTGCACCCCGCTGGACCAGCGTCCCACTCAGAGTGGCATGGGTCAGATTCCGGAAAAAGAAGCAGCAAAAGCCGTGTTGATCAGAAGGCTTTATTAGGAAGTTTACGTACAGCGGTTGATGCCCACATTCTCATTGCAGACAGTGAAGCGTCCAGTGTCATCCGGGTAGCGGTGTGAGTACAGTAGTGCAGGACGGGGTTTATGTCATACTGCGTAGGTGCAAGGATGTGTGCAAGGGGCCCAGGGAGAAACATGTCTGATCTGAGATGGATGGGTTGCTTTTGTGCTAGTTAATGGGTTCTAGCTGACGTTACCATGAAGTCATGTGTTTTCTGGCCCAGGTCACTGCTAAGTAAGGTGGGCTGGTTTTCTCCCAGAGTGGGCAGGATCCTTTTCCTACAGATGATGGCCCTCTCACATGTGAGACCCCACGTGGCACCCCATTGAAGCCCTGTGCATCTCCCATAGCTGAAATGCCCACTATTTCTTCTTGCTGGGATTCTGGGATGTAACTCTTCTCATGTGGCAGGCAGGACAGAGAAGGTCCCGGCTGACAGCCCTCCAGGGTCTGCTCTAATGGAGTCCAGGGCAGGGAGGCATGAGTCTGACCTGACAAGGCAGATGTCAGCACAGAATCTGAGCTGGACCTTTTGGAAAAGGAAGGATTTTGCCAGATACCGAAGGTGGTGAGGTCCCTGGGTGGTGCAGATGGTTTGTGCTCCATTAGTCTCTAAAAATTGGTGGTTTGAGCACTGCAGAGCTGCAGAAGAAAAGGCCTGACAATCTGCTTCCGTAAAGAATACAGCCAAGTAATTGCCTCCATGAACAACTGCCATCCTTGCCATGAGACCAGAACTGCGTGGTGCCCTGCTCCCATTACCAAATGTTTTGTTCAAAGATTCTGTAGAAGAATTCTGATCAAAAGGGGGAAAATGTAGAACAGAATGGCAAATTTTCATGGACTCCAGACTTTCTGGAACCATGGAGGCTGGATGAACCCCCTGAAACTATTGCCCCTGAGATAATCTTTGAATCTTAAACCAAAAATATCCCCCTGACGTTTTCTTAAAACCAAGCATTGTTATTGTTATGTACCACCGAGTCAGACCTGACTCATAGCGACCTCTCCTTGGGTTTCCAAGGCAGTATCACTACGAAGTAGATTGTGCCATCTTCCTTCCGAGGAGTGGCTGGTGAGGTTGAACCACCAGCTTTCTGGTTAGCAGTCAAGTGCCTTGGGCACTGTGCCACCAGAGCTCACTAGTTTAGCTTAACCGGTAAAGAATAGCTACCTTGACACACGGGGTGAACATTTCCATCGCTGCTTGGAGCGATCAATCCTGGGAGAAGACAAGGGCAGTATTTGCACAGGGAGACAGCTGGGAGGGGCAGAAGTCCAGGGCAGGGGGAGAAGGACATAGGGAAGAGGTAACCACAGGGAGGGAGGGAGAAGAGAGCTGTTACATTGTAGGAATTCCAATCAGTGTCATGAGACAGTATGTATATGCACTGCCGTATGGAAAATGATGTCCTCTGTCA